AACTTGATCCTCACCTGCCATATGCCATAATAAAGCCTTTTTTGGCAAAAAATCACTTTGGCCAATTATGTTATCAACTGACAAAAGTTTTGTATTTGGATAAGACAAAGAGAAGCTCGTAAAAACCGGCAACAAAAGACACCAAGGTCACACCAAGTCGATAAGTACTTCAAAGAATTCTAGATGACTGATGAAGCTAATCGATTAGAGCAATCAAAAGTAAGCCGATAGTGACCCCAGGGCGCGACTACCAACATCCAACTCACCCCTCTCATACACCTTTCCCTTTACTAAGGTTAAAAGGAAACTGTACCGAAGACCATCGTCCACAACACTCGATTCTGAGAGGCTACACAACCCCAAACCATAAAAAATGGGAATGACGAACAGTAGACGTCGGTTGGGGCAGGTGCACCCCGTCAAACATAATGCGGCTTCGCGATCTGTCTCACGTAGTCGATATCCAACCAGACCCATCTTACCAGCAGCGATCATTTTCCACCAACAAACAGTTACTCAACTGACGGAAACTGCCACGCAAATACAACCAAAAACCTGCCAACTGCCATCAAAACAATAAACGCGGTATGGCCAACGCCAGCAACTGCGGGCGAACCCGTTTATCCTTTGTTCAGAAGCAGAACATTAGAATAAGACTCTGTAAAGCAACCTCAGATTCAGATTACTTAGAATAATGCTTACGCTTATCCAGGGCTCCTCTGCATGTTGTAACCGATTGCCCACAAAGTTGTCTTATGATACAACAAGGGCTGCCTTGCGTCAAGATCGCACGCTAGGATCTTTCGGAGGTAACCGCTCGGAATATCATTTATACGTGTTTGCCACAAGATCCCTGAGTTCTAAAGACGTGATGATAAAAAACTACGAGATGTTAACATTCTAATATTTCAAGTAATACTACTTTAGCTCTTTCTTGATCGTTTGAAACTCAAATGCAGAAACGTCAACTAAGACAAATGGAACTCTGTGTTATCCAAAAGTATCTACTAAACCATTTATTGTAGGCGTACAGTTATAATATAACCGACTAAGCACTGCTGAAAGC